CTAGGCCTATGGCACCTGTAAGTGATGTGTTGTTCACCACGAGATCCATCTTGTTTCACTTTGTCTCTTTTTTGTGATGTTAGCAACTGTTGGCATTCATCACCTAAATTAATCAATCACTGGGGGTTGAAAAATAGTGATTTGTAATTTTGTCTTTTTTTTTCCTCTTTTCATTCAGCAGGTGGGATATGTATAAAATAATGCTTTCTCTTATCTCTTATTTGGCTGTCAGTGATACAATTTGTTTAGGAAAAGTAGTATAAATGCTTCATTATTTCTCTTTACTAGCTTTCTCAGTGAATAATTGGTGTCCTATTTAAAAAAAAAACTATTATAAACACATGTATTCAAACACGTTTAATGGATTTCAATCAATTGCAATTATAATCCTTTTGGAAACTCAAATTGTCCCATTTTTGTCAGTGGGAACCTCTTCGGGTTGGTTTCTGAAATATTTTTTAATAACCTAGTAGTTGGAGATAATATCCTTTCTACTTGGTGTGACAAAATGTTCCATGTTCATTTTAAATATTTACTGACTGAAGCCTAGAATCAGATTACAGCCTGCACACTTGAAGTACCTTCCAGGGTTGGCCCTTCTTCCCAGGCCAACATCACCTGTCTACATAAGTAGAGCTGGGGTTGCAGACACATAGATATCATTGTGGCGCTGTGTGTATGTGTGTGTGTGAGGGAATGTATGTATATTTTGGGAATACCTTGTCACCTAGTTTTTCTGTAGATGTCCCTGAGTTTTTAGTTTTGCCATCTAGTTGCTCTGTCTTTTTAATGCGAACATTTGGAGCGGTTAAAAAGATTCACACACTGGGGCCTGTAGAGGGGGTAGGGGTCCTAGGGGAGGGATAGCATTAGGAGAAATACCTAATGTAGATGACGGGTTGATGGGTGCAGCAAACCACCATGGCACACGTATGCCTATGTAACAAACATGCACGTTCTGCACATGTATCCCAGAACTTGAAGTATAATTTAAAAAATTCTACTATCTATGTTAACTTAGAGTCAATTTGCAATGGCAATCAACCAGTCTTCCTCAGTACCCAGCCAACTGCTATCTGAAGAACCACTCTGTTAGGTGCCATGTATATTGCATATGGAAATTCAAAGATACAAATTATTTCATAGAAATAGACCTTTTCCCAATTCTCAATTCTTTCCATCACATTCTGTTTCATTCATTCATTCAGTGATTGGAGAGAGTCCCATTCATCCTTCCCTTACTACCCATCTTTATGTAGGCAGTTTACAAACAAAATCCTGTGTTTCACAGAAAAGTTTACACTGACGGTTTATGTTATATACTAGGCTTGACTCTGAATATACTGTGTCTGTATCTAATATTCAATTCCATACTCAAAATGAGATTTGGCACCATTGAGAAAGTATTGCCAAGAATGGTCTAAAAGTCCTGAAGAAGGTTCCCAGTAAGACTTAGGTATTTTGGAGTAGCTACGCCTGTGCCCTCAGTGATTAATATTTTTTTATCATAGAGAAGGGCAGTATTTTATTCCAGGGAGGATATAAAAATAAAATTTTCTTTTTCCGTGGCCCTAAGCCTTACTAAATTTGCAGCTGTAAGGATGATGGTATTTAGCTATCTTTCCAAAGTAAAGATCTGAACTAGACACATTTCTTTAGGATCCCTTCCACAGAGTAAAATATTGGATGTTATGATAAGGTTCTATTTTATTATTAGGTGTTGAGACTTAATATATAGACCATTATATGTGTTGCCTATATGTAATCAGAATAAAAATACATATATCACTTATTAAGCACCTATTTCAGGTGAATGTGGCCTCATTTTACCTCCCCAAACCCTAGAAGACAGGTGGCACTGGTAATACATGTCAGTCTCAGGTTTAAATTCAGTCATATACACTCTGGTCATCTTTTGAAATCTTGATTCTTTTAGAATAGTATTTGTTTGTCTTATTGTCTAATGCAGTTGTTCTCAATCCTGGCTTGGCAGTAGAACTACCTAGATTTTTAGCAATGCTGATATCCTAGTTCTGGTCTCTGACTTATTAGACTTGGGGCCAGTATCCAAGTTTTTTAAGACCTCGCCCAGTGTTTCTAATATGTAGCCTAATCCCGTCTAGTTAGTTCATAAACTCACAATTTCTATTAAGGTTAGCTGGTTCCCATTAGCACAAACACTAGCACTATTTACTTTAAAGCCTACTTAAAAAGAAACTAGCATGAACAATGAAAACTAAATAATTACATACATTAATACCAGTTCTATTGAGCCTGGTGTCAACATGTAAATTTAACCAAAAGAACAAAACAGAGATTCAAACCACAGATCCAGAACTTGAACTAGGATCCCTAATGGAGATTAATATTTTCTTCAGCAGTCTGCCAGCTGAATCATTGTCTAATTAAATAGTTCAGATTTAGTGAGTTTGCATTTAAAGTATTAGCAGATCTGAGAATGGGTAAAGCTAAAATGAGTTAGAATCTTTTCTGCAAATGGGAAGTTAAATTATCATAGTAATTTGATTAAATCATTTTTAAATCTCCCATGCTAAATCACAGCCTTTAAAGAATAGTTTGAAGTCTTAATTGCTGTTTGTGAGCATATCTCTCTGCTATTTGTTCTCGCCTCATTTCCCGTGACATCCTATAATATATCTCCTGCTGGGCAAGAGTAGTGGGAAAGGCAAGACTAGGGGTAGGGCCAAGGTAACTGTGCAGCTGACTTCAAGCATTTAAAGATACACCATGTAGGAAAAGGAAGTTTATCTGGTATTGTTCTTACTAGAACAGGACCACAGGATAGAATCTGGAGACATACTTAGGAAAATTTTTAAAAGACGATAATTAGTTTTGCCTGTTGTCAAGGAGAATCTACATACTTAATATACGCCTGTCAATGTCTTCATTAGGAATGTTATAAAGATGGCTGATGAAGATGGGAGTTTGAATGGGACATGTTTAGAGAACAGTTCATCTCATTTTTTAAGGGAATGCATGTTTAGTGTTCTGTATTCTAGCAGCATGATTGATTTGAAGAATCCTGAATTTAAACGTGAGTCTGACATGTATTACCAGTGCCACCTGTCTTCTAGGGTTTGGGGAGGTAAAATGAGGCCACATTCACCTGAAATAAGGTGCTAAATAACTGGTAAATGTTTTACTTTTATTCCGGTGTGGTGTTTTTTTTCTTTTTTTGTCTAGTTGGAAAATAGTTATTTCAAGGTTGACTTTTCACTGCAGCATGTAATTCCCATTTTCTCCTTCCATCTATTCCTGTTTTCCTGGAGAGAGCTAATCATTAGACTCCGGATAAGTGGGGAAAGTCCAACTCATCTCTGTTCCCTTATGCACAAGATCCTTATTGCAGTCTTTTGTCTACCTAAAGACTCACCACAGTGTTAACCCATGCCCCCCATTTTTCTTTCAGGTAGCAATACAGTGCAAAAACAGAGAGAAAGAATATCAGAGCATGTTGCCATCATCTCTATGACTGTTTTTTCTGTCCCTAACTTTGCCAACTCTTAGACAACTTTAGAAATTATGTTTGTTACTAAGAGCACTACAGGAGGTGGATGAGGTTGCCATGCTGAGAGGAACCAGACTGGAGAGAAGCTGGGGAGAAACACTCCACAGGGAAAGGCCAGGCGTATGTTGGGGAGTGACTTGAGTCCTGCTCCAGGGCACCACTATCAACACTATTTCCCACTTGGAAAAATTCCTTCTTTTTTGCTCTGCCAGGCAGAAATTGAGTGTTAAGCAATAAGCAACTTTATTCCAGATTATTCAAAATTTTTTTCAGGGGTTGTCATAAACTACCTATTGTTAATAGTGGTCAGTTTACCAATGATGTGGTGCCATGATTCGAAATGCCAATGTAAAGGAAAAAAAAGAACACTAAATAAAATACAAATAAATTTTTAAGATATGTTCCTAGTTATATCCATCTATCTTTTAATTACTTTGCCATGTTTCTTATTATATGTTTAGCCACTTGATTTTAAATTACATTCCCTCTTTTTGTTCATGTGATCTATGTTTGAATTGTATGAAAGATTAGGCTAACTACATATATCTTAGAGCTCAGCATTTTCAGAGAACTAGAATTATTAAACATGAAGAATCCCCCAAAGACTCCATTATGTGTAATTAACAGATAAACTGTCATCAGAATCAATAAAACGTGCTAAATGATTCAAACTTGTATATAATTAAGTGTCTGCTTTAGAGCTGGAGCTGTAACTTTTATTTTTTCCCCACATCTCACATTTCTCACAAGAATAATTGTGGCAACCTTGTTAACCCTTTCTTTGCTTGATTGAATTAGATTTTCAAATTTGTCATTTAAGGGCAAAGTTCACCATTAAAAATGTGAAAAATATTTCAGAACTCAGTGATCTGAAGATACCATTTGTTTTTAATCAGGGAAGCAGACTGTCAGTATGCTTTAATGAACTGATACTAGAACATTAAATATCTTAAAAGGATAAATAATTTATTGTGATTTCTGTAGAGCGCTAGATTCCATGTATTCACATGGAGTTCTTAGGATCTTAGTCATCAACTTTTTTCTCCTTTTTGGGAAATATTGGCTTTTTGCAAGCAATATCAGAATTTTAAACAGCCTTCGCCTACACAGCACTAAGAATAATACTTTTAATAGATGGCCTTCCATGGTTGTTTGTTGAGTGAATGAATATATACCTAGATGAGGCAATGAATAAAATAGTCAAGATTATAATATGTTAGAAGAAAGCCTTCTCTTGTTCAGCCCGAGGAGGAAAAATACACATTTTAAATAACTGATCTTTTCTAATAATTCCCACCTTCCAAGTTAGTATTAGAAATTATGTAAGGAAATGTAGAGACAGATTGTAGAAATGTGAGGCTCTGAAAAGATCAGTTTCAAACTTAGAAGTTCAAAAATAACTAATTTTAACTCTAGTCTATATAGGTTTGTTATTAATATGATGACTTATATCTTTTGCTTCATTGCACAGACTCCATGCACATAGAAGATGTTGAAGCCGTTCAAAAACTTCAGGATGTCTTACATGAGGCGCTACAGGATTATGAAGCTGGCCAGCACATGGAAGACCCTCGTCGAGCTGGCAAGATGCTGATGACACTGCCACTCCTGAGGCAGACCTCTACCAAGGCCGTGCAGCATTTCTACAACATCAAACTAGAAGGCAAAGTCCCCATGCACAAACTTTTTTTGGAAATGCTGGAGGCCAAGGTCTGACTAAAAGCTCCCTGGGCCTTCCCATCCTGCACGTTGAAAAAGGGAAAATAAACCCAAGAGTGATGTCGAAGAAACTTAGAGTTTAGTTAACAACATCAAAAATCAACAGACTGCACTGATAATTTAGCAGCAAGACTATGAAGCAGCTTTCAGATTCCTCCGTAGCTTCCTGATGAGTTTCTTTCTACTTTCCTCTATCATCTTTTCTCTTTCTTCCCACATTTCTCTTACTCTTTGTTCTTTCTCTTTCTTCTTTCCCCCTCCATTATTTCTTGGCTTCTTTCATTCCTAGTTCCCCTCTCCTTTATTTTCTTTTCATCCACCTGCCTGCCTTCTTTCTTTTCTTTGCCTACTCTCTTCCCTCTTTCCTCATCCTCCCCTTTTGTTCTAAATTTTAAATAGCTTTAGTTGTAAAAAAATAATTTCCTCCTTCCCTTTCCTTTCCCCTTTCTTCCTGATCTTCTTTCTATTCTTTCTTTTTCTTCCTTCTGCTGCTGAACTTTTAAAAGAGGTCTCTAACTGAAGAGAGATGGAAGCCAGCCCTGCCAAAGGATGGAGATCCATAATATGGATGCCAGTGAACTTATTGTGAACCATACCGTCCCCAATGACTAAGGAATCAAAGAAAGAGAACCAACGTACCTAAAAGTACAGTGCAACATACACGAATGGACTGAGTGCAGTATTAGATTTCATGTGAGCAGCCTCTAATTAGACAACTTAAGCAAGGTTGCATCGGCTGCTTCTTATCATTGCTTTTCCATCTAGATCAGTTACAGCCATTTGATTCCTTAATTGTTTTTTCAAGTCTTCCAGGTATTTGTTAGTTTAGCTACTATGTAACTTTTTCAGGGAATAGTTTAAGCTTTATTCATTCATGCAATACTAAAGAGAAATAAGAATACTGCAATTTTGTGCTGGCTTTGAACAATTATGAACAATAATGAAGGACAAATGAATCCTGAAGGAAGATTTTTAAAAATGTTTTGTTTCTTCTTACAAATGGAGATTTTTTTGTACCAGCTTTACCACTTTTCAGCCATTTATTAATATGGGAATTTAACTTACTCAAGCAATAGTTGAAGGGAAGGTGCATATTATCACGGATGCAATTTATGTTGTGTGCCAGTCTGGTCCCAAACATCAATTTCTTAACATGAGCTCCAGTTTACCTAAACGTTCACTGACACAAAGGATTAGATTACACCTACAGTGACTCTGAGTAGTCACATATATAAACACTGCACATGGGATATAGATCCGTAGAATTATCAGGAGTGCACCTCTCTATTTGGGAGGTACAGTTGCCATATGATTTCTAGCTGCCACGGTGGTTAGGAATGAGATACTGCCTGTTTGCAAAGTTACAGACCTTGTCTCAGAAGGAGCTGTGAGCCAGTATTCATTTAAGAGGCAATAAGGCAAATGCCAGAATTAAAAAAAAAAAAAAATCATCAAAGACAGCAAATGCCTGACCAAATTCTAAAATCTAATCCATATAAGTTTATTCATTTAGGAATGTTTGTTTAAATTAATCTGCAGTTTTTACCAAGAGCTAAGCCAATATATGTGCTTTTCAACCAGTATTGTCACAGCATGAAAGTCAGTCAGGTTCCAGACTGTTAAGAGGTGTAATCTAATGAAGAAATCAATTAGATGCCCCGAAATCTACAGTCGCTGAATAACCAATAAACAGTAACCTCCATCAAATGCTATACCAATGGACCAGTGTTAGTAGCTGCTCCCTGTACTATGTGAACAGTCTTATTCTATGTACACAGATGTAATTAAAATTGTAATCCTAACAAACAAAAGAAATGTAGTTCAGCTTTTCAATGTTTCATGTTTGCTGTGCTTTTCTGAATTTTATGTTGCATTCAAAGACTGTTGTCTTGTTCTTGTGGTGTTTGGATTCTTGTGGTGTGTGCTTTTAGACACAGGGTAGAATTAGAGACAATATTGGATGTACAATTCCTCAGGAGACTACAGTAGTATATTCTATTCCTTACCATAATAAGGTTCTTCCTAATAATAATTAAGAGATTGAAACTCCAAACAAGTATTCATTATGAACAGATACACATCAAAATCATAATATTTTCAAAACAAGGAATAATTTCTCTAATGGTTTATTATAGAATACCAATGTATAGCTTAGAAATAAAACTTTGAATATTTCAAGAATATAGATAAGTCTAATTTTTAAATGCTGTATATATGGCTTTCACTCAATCATCTCTCAGATGTTGTTATTAACTCGCTCTGTGTTGTTGCAAAACTTTTTGGTGCAGATTCGTTTCCAAAACTATTGCTACTTTGTGTGCTTTAAACAAAATACCTTGGGTTGATGAAACATCAACCCAGTGCTAGGAATACTGTGTATCTATCATTAGCTATATGGGACTATATTGTAGATTGTGGTTTCTCAGTAGAGAAGTGACTGTAGTGTGATTCTAGATAAATCATCATTAGCAATTCATTCAGATGGTCAATAACTTGAAATTTATAGCTGTGATAGGAGTTCAGAAATTGGCACATCCCTTTAAAAATAACAACAGAAAATACAACTCCTGGGAAAAAAGGTGCTGATTCTATAAGATTATTTATATATGTAAGTGTTTAAAAAGATTATTTTCCAGAAAGTTTGTGCAGGGTTTAAGTTGCTACTATTCAACTACACTATATATAAATAAAATATATACAATATATACATTATTTTCACTGTATCACATTAAAGTACTTGGGCTTCAGAAGTCAGAGCCAACCAACTGAAAACATGAGATGGAGATGTGTTCAAAAAACGAGATACAATTTTTTAAGTTTTCAGTTTAATAACTCTCAGCATTGCAAAAGACTAAGTATCTCACAAATAGGAAATAAAACTAAAACGTAGATTTAAAAGAACTGCACGGGCTTTAGGGTAAATGCTCATCTTAAACCTCACTAGAGAGAAGTCTTTTCAAGTTTCAAGCAAGACCATTTACTTAATGTGACGTTTTGGAAAGTTATAAAGGTGTATGTTTTAGCCATATGATTTTAATTTTAATTTTGCTTCTTTTAGGTTCGTTCTTATTTAAAGCAATATGATTGTGTGACTCCTTGTAGTTACACTTGTGTTTCAATCAGATCAGATTGTTGTATTTATTCCACTATTTTGCATTTAAATGATAACATAAAAGATATAAAAAATTTAAAACTGCTATTTTTCTTATAGAAGAGAAAATGGGTGTTGGTGATTGTATTTTAATTATTTAAGCGTCTCTGTTTACCTGCCTAGGAAAACATTTTATGGCAGTCTTATGTGCAAAGATCGTAAAAGGACAAAAAATTTAAACTGCTTATAATAATCCAGGAGTTGCATTATAGCCAGTAGTAAAAATAATAATAATAAAACCATGTCTATAGCTGTAGATGGGCTTCACATCTGTAAAGCAATCAATTGTATATTTTTGTGATGTGTACCATACTGTGTGCTCCAGCAAATGTCCATTTGTGTAAATGTATTTATTTTATATTGTATATATTGTTAAATGCAAAAAGGAGATATGATTCTGTAACTCCAATCAGTTCAGATGTGTAACTCAAATTATTATGCCTTTCAGGATGATGGTAGAGCAATATTAAACAAGCTTCCACTTTTGACTGCTCTTTTGTATTGTGTTTCTTTTTTCCCCCCACTAAGGAACCAAATCAATAAACACTGCCCTTTGTTGCTTCCATTCAAAGAGTATCTCCAAGTACCTGTTCCCTAAAAATAAAGTCGGAGTTTAAATAAGTGCTATATAAAGGCTTGTCAGAATGAATTCTAGGGTGCCAAGAGACATTTTGCATATTTAAGAGTATGCAAAGTGTCTCATGGCACATTAGAATTCATTCTGACAAGCCTTTATATAGCTCTTATTTAATGTTAAAGCATCTCCACATCATCCTGCATTACTCAAAATCATCGCCTCTATGTCAATGTCATAACAGAAAACTCTCCCCCTATTTTAAGATCATATTAAAACCTGCTAGAGATACCCGTTATTTCCCTCTATCAACAATTAAATCATGCGCTTGCTCCAAGCTCTTCGGCAAAATGCAGGCTGTGTGGAGCAGCAGTGGAGCTGCTGACCAGATTTCCTTAATGGGAAGTCAACAAGCAGAGCTTAGAGATCCGTGTGAATTAGGGGCAGGAGCTGTCTTCAAATTCAAGAGGGTTAAACAGCACTGCTGACAGCAAATGGCCTCCTCTTGCCTTTTACATTCAGAGAGGTTACAGCCCTTGCTGCGCAGGGTCAAGTTGTAGCTTCCACTGGACCCTCCTGGAGCCATCACGGAAGTGCTAATATGTGCTTTCTTGGCTTCTCTGCCTATCTTGAGGGTGTTTTGTCATTGTGTTTGCCCACCACATTTCTCACCTTTCAGAGGTGGTTGGTTCTCTGGAGAAGCAAGCTGATGACACAAAGGCCACTAAACTGAATTGGTTTTAGGGGCACAGGATTACCTAAATCACTGAGATGCACTAGCTACCAAGATAGCTCAGTATTGTGTTTTTTATATTTTAATGTCTTTTGAGTGGCAACAGTTTAACCTAAAATCTGACATGTTTTACTTTTGATGTTTTTTAAGTGCTTGGGTGGGACTGAAACAATACAAGATACAAATCTAAAAGGAAAAATCATATCTAATCTTCCAGTGAGGTCCTCATTGTAAAATATGCTACACACACACACACACACACACACACACACACACACACACACTCTTTTAAGAATTCTTACTAGAATTATCTTGCTGTTCCTATAATTTAGAATTATTACAGGACAACTTTTCTGGTACTGACATATTTATCATGGATGCCTCAGGTGTAAAAGAAAATGAAGTAGGATTTTGACATTTCAGCATGTTGTTTCCGGATATATAAACAAGTACCTCTGACAAATGCATTATGTTTGTTTTAAGGGATCACTTCTATTTTCACCAGTTGCTTACAAACGATTTATTTTTAAGCCAGTGGTTCCCAAATTTGTCTGCATATTGAAATCACCTGGAGAGTGTCAAAATTCCTGATACTCACATCCCACCCACGGAAATTGTGGTTTTGTTGATCCACGATGTGGCCTGGGTTTTTGGAATGCTTAGAAAAGATCTCCAGGTGATTCCAATATGAAGACAAATGGAGAAACACGTCCTCTAAATTTTTATGCTTTTCTTAAATAAACCAAAAATAATGAACTTTTTAATATTGGTTCTAAATTTTTGTTAGGGTTTTAGATTTTTTTTTAATAACAAGACAAAAATATTTAACTTTTTTTTCCTTACAAAACCAATGGAACACACTTTGATTATTTTGACCTGCATAAAACAAATGGAAAATACATTTTATTTGATGACTCCCAAGCCACCTCTTCCGGTTATGTCTCCATATAAAGATGGAGATG